GTTACATTTTAACAGTGGGAGGGAGGCAAAAATGGGATAGGCCAAGGGTGTCAAACTCAGCCCTGCAGTTTAGATATAACCCTAATTAAACACATCTGATCTAGCTAATCTAATCATTTAGGCTTATTTGAAAACTACATGGAATGTGTGTTGGAGCAGGGTTGGAAGTAAACTCTGCAGGGTAGCGGTCCTCCAGGAACTGAGTTTGTCACCCCTGGGATAGGCCTATAAATCTCAAACCAGTTGTTTTTAATTAAAGGAATCAGTTATTTAGAATAATAAGACATGTGGGCAGTTACCAGGCAAATTAAATCAGTATCAACAAAGTTCATCTTTGCAATGCAGAGGAAACACAGAAGCTTCATCGGAAGTGGCATTTAGATGCATTTACACACTGTTTAATGCAGGACATGAATGCATTTAACCTGCATTTACAAATGCAGAAATAATGTTTTGATATACAAGATATAAAATGTTGAATACTCATTTGAAATTATAAGAAAAAAAAAAATCAAAAGATACTTTAAATGTGAAATTAAAACAGTCAATAGGTGTCAGCAAGTCACTGTTAATAAGTGAGTCATTGCGATTGAACCGAATCATTTAAAGGGTTGATTCATTCAGGAACGAAACACCATCATGTTGCTCAGAGACGCAAAACTGCTATGGTGGCTGTGTTTGGAATTATTTTTGTTGTAGAAATAGAGCAAAAACAGGCAATATGGTGTCTAAAATGCAAGTCTCTTAATTAACTTCTTGTTTATTGAACTGTTTAAAAAAATCTATATGTAATCATGCTGATTTTTGGAGGAAAAAACGGCATTCTTCATGTGATATTGATTAACTATATGAAATGATATAAATATATTCATTTTCTGCCCCTATATCTTCAATTTTGTGATCATTCTAAATGCATTTTAACAGACTGAATCACACAGTGAAAAAAAAATAGAAGTACACAAAAAAGCTACTCAATTACAGTAACGTGAGTAAATGTAATTCGTTACTTTCCACCTCTGTAGTTAATTAATATTACCAAGTACTTAAATGTATAAGTAAAAACAATTCAAAATATCCCAGCAGCCACGCATGGAGCGGGCGTGAGAAACGAGAGGCATTGGCGCTCACTTCATCATCACCGCTGCCGTTAAATGCTATACAGTATATTTTTCTGTTTTCTTTGTCGTACGCCGAGATGCACCGAGATGAGTGACGGATTCACATCCTGGACTCGATAGCAGACGCGAGTTTACTGCGGGCTGCCAAGACCCTCACAATCTGCTGGCTCAATGCACTTAAATCTTCCTTTTTATTTGTAATAAACACCTGAGACCTCACAACACACCCTCTATTGTTTTCTTTGTTTAATCAGCCACATAATTGTAACTGTAGGTGCACTTTATTTCATTTAAACCTCCTCACCTGTAAATTTAAAATTAATCCCTAATTGAGATTTAAATCTGAGTTTAAAGTTATGGAGCAACATGATTAAAGTTAATCTATCTTAAATATAAATTAAATCCAGGATCAAGATGATGATCTAATTTAAATGTAATCCTGTTTATTTTTAAACAAGGTTTAAAGTTTGGTGCAACGGAATTATTAGATAAACCTTGATTTAATCTAGATTAAAGCTTAATCCTTGTTGGTGCAACCCACCCTAAGACTTTTACTCAAGTTGTTTTGGAATTGGTGACTTGTAACGTGTAGTGGAGTAATTTTCACTGTAAGGTATCTGTACTTTTACTCAAGTATGGTTTTTAGGTACTCTTTACACCTCTGAGAAATAGCCGTATTCTGCTTGCTTCCAGTTCCTTACATACGCACCATTTAAACCGAAAATAGTCATTCATAAAGTTTGAAAAGGTTGAAGCGAATTACAAGGATGTTCACAGTGGGCTGTGTTTACATTAATCTCGCATCATAAAAGCATAAAAGCCGATGTGCAAGTACATTTAACCACTTGCATTACTCAGCCGAAAGCACAAGCGCTCTTCTTCCTGAGCGTTTGAGTGTGCAGTTAAAAACTAGCCTAGAGCGCCATCTGCTGTTAAAAACTAAGCTCAGAATCGATTCGAGAGAAGACGCGATGCATCGATTTATTGTCTTAGCCCTAATAAGTAGTTACAGTATGTATATGTAATTGTATGTAGTATATGTAGTTCGGATACTCACTTGTCCTTGATTTCAAATCTTTCATGCAGCCATCTGCGGAAGAACACTGACTCTACAGGAATTTCCCTCATGTCCAAGCGGTTGAAGTGGATGTGTACCCTGGGGCATTCCTGGCACAGGAACTCTATCACACAGAGAATTCAAATTAGATAAAGGCATTTCAGACAACCATCAGACAGAAAACAAACAAACAGAAAACCAAACACAACAATTAAAAACTGTTTATGAAAGTGAAATAAAATAAAAAGAAGAGTATTTAAAGACTTAAAAATTATATAAATTATTTCACTTTAACATAGTAAAATTTGTTCACTTGCAAGGTTTAATTTTTGGCAGAAAACCGCTGGGAGTTTTTCCATCAAAGACATTTCTCATTACAAAAAAAAAAATGCTGTAAATATCTGCTGACGGACACCGAGCTGCGTTGTCATGGGAACATGCCAGCTGAAGATTATGAGGAAATTACGTCGCTCCCTTTACCAAGTGCATTCCAAACGACTACATAATGGCATACACGTGCCCTGCTCACACCAAAGTCCCCACTCCAAGTGGATAGGGATGATAACTTCCATTTGGAATTTGCCCCGTGAACCGTTCGGTACCGATACTCGTACCGGCACACCCCTACTTAAGACAGAGTTCACGTGTGATCCATGAAACATTCGTATGCTGCCATTCTCATCGTACGAATGATCGCACGTTGATAAATGTGGCGGCAGAAAACAATCGTCATTTAAATATCATGCTCCTAAAAACACCCTGGTTTAGAAGCCTCGCCCCTAGAGTTTACGACACGGAGAAACGAAACCCGTTCAAAAAGAGGAAGTAATCTCATGAAAGAGAAATTGATCTTACTCCAAAAACACCCGTTAACCTTGTAATTGCAAACAATTAGGCTACATTAATAAATTAAATGTATATGTATATTAAAATACTGGTAAATATAAACAGCCTATTTAGTTCCCCTCACTCTACAATAAATATTTTAAATTTAACAGTATTCAGAATGAAATATGAAATGAAAAATAAGTAGTTATAAAATTATATTTTAAACTATAAAATAAACACAAATTAGGCTATAGAGGTATTCATTATAAACAGCATATAAATGTCAAGCAAAACTGCAATGGCATTGGGGTCACAAGCCTGTCTCATACCATAAGAATGCAAATATTTCTATTTTTGACATATTTGTAACATTTGTTTGCATAACTATTATTCATTATGTAGCTTAAACATGGCTTTATACTTCAGTCATGTTATATCCAGGGGTTAAAGCAAAAAAATATCCTGAGCCTGAACTTTTTTCCGGGCTTTGGGGGTTGCGGGGACGGACACATACACAGGGTTATTTGGCAAACAAAAAAAGAAAATGATTTTCCTTGAAACTAACTAGTAACGTATCTGCCATTGCCATTAGCCCTTAACAGGCTCAGACTATGGTGGAACAGACTATGGTGGATATTTGAAACAGCAATACCAAGAAAGTTTACTCACTACAATATGGTGCAAACACATGTAACATTTAGGATGATTTTGATATCAAGTTTTGCTATCAAGTTAGCTTTGTCCTTGACAGGGTACAAGATGACCTACAATCTAAACCATGACATTTCTGAAATTGTTTTGTTCAAAAGAAATAATGGTCAATTAAATACTAGGAAATGAATATAAAATAAACTTTTATTTTGAAATCACGATGTACAATAAATCGCATATTTAGAAATATGTTGTATTCTCCTGTGTTGACATAGGTTTAAATGATTTACGTTACAAATCAAGTGAGTTTTCCCAGATGAACGTTAAGCAACACTCACCGCATATGCAGAGGAAGAGTTTAGCCCCTTTTACACATACAGTCTTTACTGGTAAATTACCATTAAGAGATCATGTGTGAACAGGACCTTTTCAAAAATCCCGGTAAATTCGTTCTGGCAATCATATCGTTCTTATGGAGATGGCTTGATTACTCTGAGCTGTTTACAAATCTCCGCTGCTTTTTAAATAGCTTTTCTATGTAAATATGACACTAGATGGAAATCTTTGAACATTGAACTCGATACGATTGAACGTGATATCAACAAGTGTTTTTAAATGTAGGACGACTATCTTTTTTTTCTTCCCGCAGCCAAACGCCGCACACCGGTGTTCCGGCATGGTGCCGGAGAACTTTAAGCCCTATATATCCGTGTAAAATCCTTCACATGTGCAAAAATGTTTGTTTGGGCGCTGCACGCTGATTTTACAGCAGACCTTTTAAAATAAAAGCGTAACTTTTATGTTTGGTTGACTGCATTTTAGTTTGATGATGAATGGCTGAAATGTCAGGCAACGGTAGAAGTAATGTTGTTTGTGTGTGCGTGAGGCACCTGTGCGATCAGATGGATTAAATCAAATAAACATATAAAGAAAATAAATAAAATGTATTAAGAGTGTCACAAAAACGAGCGTAGCCTATACTTGTTGCAGTGCTTTTTTTCCCTTTTGTTAATCTATTAATTATATTATAGCCTATTATATATTTTGTGTGATCCTATTTATTTTATTCCTTTTATAGACTTAATTTCTGTTTTTCTCCTTTCACAAAAGCTCCGCAGGTGCATGATGCAACAATTGAATCCTCATGGTCTTGTTTATGCTGCTATTCGCACATATAAAGCTAAAGCCCTGTACAAAACAAACAAAAAAAAAAAGACATTCTAATCTTACTGGTTAACGATCGACTAATGAGCTTCGTTTGATGGTCAGTAAAATAAAAATGAACAAAATGCTGTCATTCTACAATTCTCCACCGTATTTACTATGCTGTGAGCAAGTTCAGGTAACTCAAAAACTTGTGTACACAAGCTGAGACCAGATGTGAGATTTGATCGTAGCCACCGCTCACGTCCATATTAATAAATTCCAAGTTTTGCATTGAAACGACCGTACGCCCAATTTTGTGTTGTACGTTCGTTTCGTAAATGAGGCCCATTGTGTTCCAAATGCACATTGTTCCAAATAAATGTATTTGTTTGCTACATTTATTGTGAATCGAGTCACTCTAAGACAGTGAAACACCTAAATCATGAGTTGCTTGAATGTAAATGAACACGGATTACAATTTAATTAAATCATAGCCTTTCGTGATTTGATAAGTGCATTAAAGGTGACATATTATTATGTCCCTTTTCACAAAATGTAATACAAGTCTCCGGTATCCCCAGAATGTGTCTGTAAAGTTTCAGCTCAAAATACTCCACAGATCATTTATTATATCATTTTGAAAATGCCTATTTTGAGTGGAAGCAGAAACAAGCTGCTTTTCGGGCCTTTGTCTTTAAATGCAAATGAGCTGCTGCTCCCCGCCCCCTTTTTCAGAATAGAGCTGCGCCATTACAGCTCGTACCTGCTAAAAAAAATCTGTTTCGGTTCTGATTATCATGTTTATCGCACTGAAATCATGCGTTTTAAACCATATGAGTTTAAACTTCAGATATAAGGTTTTCTGAGCACACACATCTGAAGCACATGGACAGAAAGCTGCTGTCACAGCATGTGAGTAATTAACTAAGCTCTCATTCACACACAAGTTTACGTTAAAAACACACGAGTTACAAAAACAGTCGGTTATGTCTGTGAAGGTAAACAGCTGGTAAATAAATCGCTTGTTTATTTTAGATCTGTGTGGCAGCATTATACAGTAGCCTAAATACATCAATAAATCCATTGCTCTCTTGTCTCCTCTGAGGCTGGGACTCTAAATAGTGTTCTGTGCTCGTCTGTGCAGCCAAAGACAGAACAGTTAGCATGTTTTGCTCAAACTTTCACAATGGCATTAGAACTGGTACACCGTTGTCGCTTACGAAATCAAAATGATGGTGCCTTGAGTGGAAGTTTACAGATTAAGGGGCGGTAATATTATAATGAGATCCCTTTGCCACGTCACCAAGGGAGCGAAATGAGACGCTCTCGTTTTCTCAGACGCTTGCAGAATAAGGCTTTCCTAAACAAAGTGATTGGGTTCATCTTTTTCAGGTTTCCTTGGTTGGTAGATGCACCAGGGACCTGATTATAGCACTTAAAACCTGAAAAAGTCAGATTTTTATGATATGTCACCTTTAAATCATATCGCAATTTAGTTTTTAGTTCAATTGAAACATCTTTTAACAAAGCAATGGTGCAAAAACTATACCACTATGTAATAAACAAGGAAAACAAAAATGTGTGACCAAAAATAAAGCAAGACTGGACTTTTTTTTTTCTCTCAGTCAGTTGGTCAGTCTTGTAGGTTACTCTATAAACTGTAAAAAGTTATTTACTATATTTAACATGCATCGTTGGATGAAACTGAGTGTAGTAATTGTGAATAATAAATAGATTTACATTAATCCTCCTTTTTTTTTTTTTTATAAAGGATTATGAACAATATCATATAAGCCTTTACTAATCTCCGCTAGCCAAGTCATTATGTAATGAATACTCTTTCTGGGTTCAAGTCTCTACAATGTTTCAATAGCAATTTATGATCACCATTCTTTTATAGCATACCTTCTCACTCTCTGGTCAAATCCGATTTCATTATGGAGATAAAGGTCAGGATCATGATTTTTAAGTAGTATTACAGCACACCGTGTGTGTACTGTATATAAGCACCGTTTGCTGTTTGCTTGTGGAATCTGACAGAGCACTTGGACCGAAATGTGACGCATGACTGAAACTTTGATATCGCAACAGACCTATTGCTTACCAGTTTTTTAAATTTTTTATAAAGAAGGATGTGACAATATCCTAACAGCTACCTAAATGTTGCTACTGTTTATGAAACCTCTTACTGCTTTAGTGTTTTTGGGAACAAATGGAAAATAACACATTGTAACAATCACTGTTTACAGGAAGTAACAGGAAATTCACATATCTGTATTTTTAGTCCTCAATTAATGGTTTAACACTGTGTGTCTGCCTTCTTTCCTGTTTTAGTTGAGAGAAGTAAACATGCTGCTTAGAAACTGAATGTATAGCAATAACAACATACCTGGCATTGTAGGAGCTGGATGTCTCTGGCCATCTGCTGTGAGTGTTCCCTCATATGCAACAGTTATGTCATAGACAGCATCCAGGTGTTCCTTCATAGTCTCAATGGCAACATGTGATGCTTTCATTCTTGGTGTTAAAACGTGCTGCAGCACAGCAAGTCCTGCAATAGGCAAGACAACATGACTATTGCATGTAAATTAGTAAATTAGTTTGAGAAACTGAATAAAATTCTATATATTTTTACGATGCCTTTGGGAAACTCTGTGTACTTAAGCACTAATAGTCTCTGCTTACTGTAGGCGTAAATGGATTCACCCAAAAAATAAATAGAATGTCATTTATTTACGAATCTTGAACATCTACATTTTTAATTTTCATTCATAGAGATAACATGAAAAATATCACTGTCAGTGTTTGTCACTCCTCAAACTTAGCAGTATACGTAGACATTGGTTCACGTCCAAATTGTGAATGGATTATATACAGAAAGCGAGCAAAAAATGGTACCTTTACAGCAAGGCTGAAACAATTAGTCAACATTATCGACAACGGCGACAATTTTTTATTTTTGTTGACGAATAGTCATTTGATCTCATATGACCTAATGTAAGGTCCTGCAGTAATGTGGTTTGACTAGTGTATTCCACGCTCTTTGCTACAATCCAACAGAAGGAGACATGTAAGAAGTGCAAACGAAGCCGGACCAAACTACAATTAAAAATGCTGTCATGTGCAAAGGCCCCAATATACTCACTGCAAAGTTCTTTTTCGTTCTTCGGTTAGGGGTTAGCGAACATCCCAATGCAGCCTGAACTGCTGAAAGCGGTTCTTAGATGAATGTGTAAATATGTGCTGTGTGCTTTCCTCTCAATAACAAAACAAACACACAACAAACATGATGCTGTGGGAAAACAGCAGTTAAGAAAGCAATCTGATGATAGCGATGTGGATATCACCAGCTTTGCAATCGGCACTCTAGTAAAGTCAACTCATGTCAGCTTTACAGTATTAAACATGGAAAAAACTGTCGGTGTCGCTTTCAGTTACAACTTGATTTTCTGCAATAAAGCAGCTCTGTGTATATGAAAATGTATAGAATTTGTATAACTATTTTAAATTGCAAAAGCTGAATAATCAGGCCTACTTTACAGCATAACTTGCGCAAAAACTGCAATAGCCTTAGTCAGTTTATATGCCCTATTGAATTTAACATGATGAAAATGATGCTTTGAGGGATAGACTTACAGTCTTTACAATGGCACGCACTATATAAAACTATGTAATTTCAAAATTTTTTATGGAGTTTTTTTATTTACTGAAAGCTTTTTTTTATTTTTGTTTCACCTTGCACCTGCTGAACAATTGCTATGTTGTTAAACCACAGTACTATCCATTGAACACGCAGTTCTTCTGTCCCTCACAGCCTCATTTTCATTCCTGTCTAAAATTAAATATGGCACTATGCTGACTGAAGTCTGTAGTCAATAAACTACACACTGCCCAGTGAATCGCTCTGGTTATTAACGTAACCTTTATCATTGGGAACCAAGGTTACGTTAGTAACCCTATTGTGTTCCCTATCGAAATGGTCTCTCACCTTGCGTTTATGGCACTTGGGGGAACGATTTACCATAGCACTGGGCTATAAGGTCAGAATGGAAGCTGTTCTGCGAGCCCAGCTCTAGGGAACCGCTCTGAGGGCCCTAAGAAAAACAGGCTAACTAGTGAGGCCCGGGCCATCGGCCGAAGCACACATTCAAAACAGTCTAGACCACTTACCAGGGATGCAAGACAATTAGATGGACAAGATTTGTTCCTCAAGGACAGGGTTATAAAACCTACCAAAGGTAGATGGCGATGACCAGCCGGCTGGCTTGCAAATATCCCCAATAGAAACTCCGCTGGACCAAGCCCAGGAGGAGGCCAGAGCCCACTGAGGGGCAAGCCAGGGATATTGCATCCACTATCCAGTGGGATAATCTCTGCTTCGTAACTGGCAGCCCTTTGGAGGGGCCTCCAAAGCTGGCTAGAACGCTCCATATAAATCTTGAGGGCCCGGACCGGGCAAAGTAATTTAGCTCCCTGCTTGTTTTCAGAGGGAGGAAGGGCTAACGTCGGTCGGGGAACCACGACTGCTTACGCCAGAGTGAAGCCACCATTAGAACTGAGCATCCGGTCTCCCTGATCCGTCTGATGACCAGAGGGAGCAGAGCAACCGGGGAAAGGTGTACAGGTGGCTTTGGGCCATTCACGGGCCAGCCAGCATGTCCTGTTCCTTGGAAAAAATTTTGGGCAATGACAGTGGTGTTCTGAAGCAAAGGTCTACCTCTGCCTTTCTAAAGATCTCCCAAATCATCTGAAATGTTTGGGGGTAAAGTCTCCATTCTCCTGGAGACACATTGCCCTGCTCCCTGGTTCAGTCTGCTAAGCACATGCACCACCCACGATGAGCCCAGATTGCAGTCCATAGGAGGAGGCGTCTTGCCATCTTGTAAAGAGACTACGAACAGAGGCCACCCTTGCAAATTAATGAGGGCCACCACTGTTGTATTGTCTGAATGGATGATGACATGGTGCCCTTTCAGGGCTGGCAAGAAGGTTTTAAGGGCTCAAAAAATCACCATAATTTTGAGACAGTTGATGTGCAGGCATTGCTCCAGGCTGGACTAGTAGCCGAACACCGAGCTGGCCTTACACAGAGCTCCCCAACCCAAGTTGGAAGCCTTTTTCGTAACAACCTTTCTTCTGGAGGTCAGACCCAATTGGACTGCTGTCTGATACAGGCGAGGGACCTTCTAAGGGGGAAGGCCCAAAGGTATCACAGGGGACGCAGCTGCCATCAGCCTCAGGATTCTCTGGAAAGTTTTGGGGGAAAGAAAGCCCCTATCTTTAAAGATGCCGCTAGCCACAGAATTCTCAGTGAGCATTCCGGCAAGAACCAGGCCCGCATCTGGGGTGAGTTTATAACTGCCCCCAGAAAACCGACTCGCCTGCTGGAAGACAGACAGCTCTTGGCTGAATTGATTCTGAGTACAGAGCTTGTGTTCTGACCGGGCTAAAACCAGCCAGTTGTCGAGGTACTTCATGACAAGGATTCCCATCTGCCTCAAAGGGGAGAGAGCATACCCAAGTCCATGCAGGGACAGTCCGAATGGAAGGACTGTATATCGGTAAGCCACCCCCTCAAACGCGAATCTCAAGAACGGTCTGTGATGGCTATTAGGATATGAAAGTAAGCATCTTACTTTCATGCTTCCTTTCATGAAAACCAGTCTCGAGGATCTGTTTTAAAGTGAGCATCCTGGATGGCCACCTTATTAAGGCGCGATTCAGGAGCCTGAGATTGATAATGGGCCTGGGCCCACCATTTTTCTTTGAAATGAGGAAATAGCGGCTGTAAAACCCTGACTTGCTGCTCTCTGATGGGACCGTTTTGACAGCTCCCTTTGCCAGCAGATACTGCACTTTGGAGCAGAGAATGTAAGCATCATTGTCCTGAACCGAAGTCTCGACCACACCTTTGAAGCAGGGAGGTCTGCGAGCAAATTGAAGCAAGTAGCCACGTTTTATAGTTTGCAGAACCCATTAAGCCCAGGATGGCTTCCCAAGTCTGCAGCCGGCCGGCAAGGGGTCTGAGTTTTTCAGGCGGCAGGTTGCTGCATGGAGACAGGGAACTGACCACGAGATGTTTTGCTTGGGTGAGTGCAAAGTGAGAGTTGGCAGTGTAAACAGAGCCTCCAACACCCACAGCTGAATGGGGGATTGGAAGGCAAACATGAGACTTTTTTGAGGGAGGTCTGGACTCAGTGGGACATAACTCTCTTCTCTCCTGACACATCAGGACGGTTTCTGGCACATGGCCTGTAACGAACAACCCAGAGGGAGAGACTGGGGAGTTGAGGAAGACAGTCCTGTATCTCCATTAAGTTTAGCCAGAAGTGGCGCTCAAGC